GTGTATCCTATCTATCTATCTATCTATCTATCTATCTATCTATCTATCTATCTATCTATCTATCTATCTATCTATCTATCTATCTATCTATCTATCTATCTATCTATCTATCTATCTATCAGGGCTGCACGATAAATCGCATGCGATATTTAACACGAATCTTGTCAGAAAAGCCGGTTCTGTAATCAGCGGTAAATCTCCATCACCTGCGGGCACTGACGAGCTGCGCCAAAAATCGCGCGAATATGAACCTGGTTTTGCGCAGCTAGTCAGTGAACAACGGCTCTGTGTAGTTAATGCTGCTCAATGTGAAAGCCCGCAGGTGATGGAGATTTACCGCTGATTACAGAACCGGCTTTCTGACAAGATGCGCGTTAAATATCGCATGCGATTTATCGTGTAGCCCTACTATCTATCTATCTATCTATCTATCTATCTATCTATCTATCTATCTATCATTGCTCTCATCTTGTCATTGTTACTGATCTTCTGGTCTGTTGGTTCTGACTGTCTCCTTTGTAATTGATTATGAGTAGATTTGCTTTACCTTAACTCACTTTATCTGTCTTTCTCTGTTTACTCTTCACTCTTGTTCATTGGTCTCCTCCAGAGCTGCACTGCTCTGCATGGCTCTATCCATCTCTCCAGAGTGGGTTAGGTTGATTGAGGAAATGGCCCTAAGGACCAAAGGCTCTGCTGTACTTACAGAGAGAGAGCCCAGCAATTAAAAGACAAGCTCACACACACATGCACGGGGTGCAATTAATGCGTTCTGAGATCCGAATCAGTCTGGAGTGAAAAAAAAAATCAGATGCAAATAGAACAAGGACTGGGACATTCTGTTTTGATGCGATTAACCCCATCACAAATATTGTTATTCTATTGCGTCAATGGTTTAGGACTGTTGTAAATAAGTTCATTGAATGAATGCTCAACTCCATTTCACTGATATTGAGCTAAATTAAATAGAACTAAATTGAATAGAGAGAGATGGGGGAGTGAGCGAGGGCACATGCACTGCAGATAGACAGGGTCTCATTCACTAATAACTGCACATGTGCACAGTGAAGGTTCTCACACAGAATTTCTGCAAGATTTACAACACGATTTTGGCCACAATTTTGCTGTTTGAGAAATCATAAAATATTTATTTTGTCATATGGAAAAGTCAACAGACTTGGATGTTTTAGAGTGACATGCTCAGCATGCATGCATTTTAAAAATAGTCTTTTATTTCTGAAATGTTGGAAACTGTTTACAGGCGTAATATTACATCACCGCTTCACTACAGTGAGAACACAAATCATGTAAACATTTATTAGCCATTGTTATGGCAGCAACAGCAACTAGTCAACTAAATACCTGTGTTAACTTGTTTCTGCAAATGGCTGCTAATTTTAAAAATGACATCCATCATTTAGAGAGATAAAATGCAATAAATATCTGTTGAATAGGGTATTTAAATAAATGTTAAACATGTGACTGACAATGTGAGAAATGCATTTCCACAAAACTTGCTCCTCCACCATGAATAAATCAGTATCTAAATACACAGTTTTATCACTGAAGAGCCATGCAAATTTATTTTTACAGCCTTCCCCATGAGAGACAATTACCATTCCCAATAGGACTTTTGTGATGAATTTTTGAAAGTCTGTTAGCATTTTAAGCAAGGTGCATACTGGACAATTTTCAGGGATTTTACCATATAACCATCTTTCACGATTCCCAAAATTTGTGTCAGATGGCAAAATCTCACAGTGTGAATGCAGCTTTACGCAAAGTCTCATTGGGGTCATATTGTACAATCTGACAAGAGGCAATTGTAGCAGGAAAAAAAAACTGCACAGCAGGCACTAGGTTTTACTCTTGTTCTACAATGAATTGATGAATCTGGATTGTTGTAAATGAGGGGAGCAGTGACCGCAGTTAGCAATTAGCATACAAAACTAAACCATCTCCATATGCCGTAAGGGCTTCTACACAATCTCTCCTTTACAGCCATTTATCATTCTTTGCAAACATATCCTTACTCTCACTAGAGACGATAGCTTGAGCAGCAAGCGTGCCATTCTCAAAAACAGTCGGAACACAATAAACATTTTATATAAGCCTACAGTGCACATGATCACCTGCATGTTTGCATACTCTTGTTTATATGTTTGATACAGATGATTGTTTGATTGCTGGTTGGCCTTATGCACCATGTTGAGTTTTGTCACTGAGCGCTGTGGCTCCATTTATTGCTTTGTCTCAAAAACAAAGTCATTATGCTATAATATTATGTGTGTATGCGGTCTCTAACATTACAGGGCGATTGTTTTCAGGCACATCATTTAAAATGTTAGTGCAAACTGGGTTATGTGTAATTTCTAGTTTGTCATTTTGAATTAGTCACTGAAAACACACTCACCATCAACATAATCAAAATGATGCCAAAGTGCAAATATACAGGAAGCTAGAATACAAAATAAACATATTTATGAATCTAATGAATATGATTTTAATATTAAAGATGTCCGAATTCTTTTCTTCTATTAGCACATGCTTGTTTGAGGTTAATCTTAAATTCAGCATCTCTTGGAAGCCTCTTACAATTCAATACAATGCCTATTCATTTGCATAATTGCATCAAGCAGCATGATAACTAAATGTTTTTATCATTTTGCTGCCACACACTCACACACATCACATGCACTTTGTCTTTCCTTAGCATTTGTTGTCATGGTTGTTCATTTGTGTCAATCTGTTCAGCTGTGCACACCTTATAAACTTCAGTATTTAAGTTCATGCCTTTCACCCCTTTGTTGTCGGGTATTGTTTGTTACTATGCTTTGGTTGGATGCTGTTCTCGCTGCTTGAATCATATTGTGGATTTAATAAAAACTGTTTGGAATTATCTTCGTTGTCCTGCTTGTCTGATACAACCTTAGTATCATGACAGAATACCCGACCACTAAATTGATAGAAGCGGCGTAATTTAAATTTTTGTGGGAATATGCGTATTTTTTGTTTGTTTAGTTTTCCGTCACGAGTTAGACTGTTGTGCTGTTGTGCCTTGAGCAGGGGGACCGCTCCCTATGGGGAACATGTGTTAGAGTTCCTTAACCTCTCTTATTTAACATCGTACCCGGATGACTGCCTCTTCACATTTCTTCGCATTGGCCTGAACAGAGCGTAGTTGTCCGTGGAAGCAGCTCGAGGGAGCTTCATGGGTTATGAGGAGTGGATGCTGCTTTCTTGCAAATCTCCACTTACTGTCGGACCTATCGATGACAATACCCGCTGCACTAACAACCCAATGCCCAGCCAACATCACCCAGACTGCGGGGATCGGCAGCCCGTGCCCACCACAGGCAGTGAGAGTGACTCTGCCACAACGCACGAGCTAGCGCTAACAAGAGCGATAGAGCTGAACATCGCCATGGAGCCTGAGCACCACGTGCCTGACCAGGTGTATGAGCCAGCATCTTCCTCCGTCGCTGAGGGAGTGAATGTGGAATTTGTGGGGATGGAAGTGAGCCCCACCCAACCTCCCGCCACTAAGAGTGAGTGTTTGGCCATCGCACTCGAAAGCTGTTTTGATTTTGGAGAGATTGATTTTCTATCCCCTTTGCTACAACCTGAATCAGTCTGTTATGTCCCAACCTCCCTCTCCCACCACCTCTCCAGAATTCTGTTGAAATTGAATTTTGTGTTGGATTTTGTACTGCTCTCCAAGCTCTTCTCCAGTCCCCAGTTACTTCTGCCACTCAGTCATCACTACCTCCCATCAGTCCCTCATTGCCTCCTCTCAGTGGTGGGTCAACACCTCAGGCCTGCTGGGAGCCATCTCTTCCTGGATGTTGGAAGCCTGTGGATCTACCTTCTGCCTCTGCACGCTCCACTACTCCTTGACCTGTCGCCCTGACTCCTGCGCTCCATCCTCCCTCAACGTCAGCAGTGACCATCGGACTTTAGGCCTCGCCGTGCTCCCTCGGACCATTGGCTCTGCCTGAGTCGGACATCGCCGTGCCTCCACTGAAGACTGTAGCTCGGCCCTTCCTCAGGCTCTATCTCCGCCCTCGGTCGCTCCAGCTCAACCTCAGTCCTCTGGACCCCTGCTGCCATCTCGGGGGGTTGTTGCTGCGGCACTGTTGCAGCCGCCTAGGTCCTTGGAGTCCTGTCGCTGCACTGGCTCTTTGGCTGCGCGGTGGGCTTCCTCCATGTCATCGTTGTCTCCGGTCATCCCCATGGTTGCATCTGTCTCTACACCTCCATGGCTCTTCCCTCCTGCAATGCCGCCGTGGGTCGCTGTCTTGGCTGTGGCCTGGATCATCATCCACCTGCCTCTGCTCAAGGCCATTCCCTGGCTGTCCCCTCCATCTGCACCTCCTTAGACCTTTTTGTTTGTCCCTATCCCGGATTCCCGTCCTGTTCCAGAACCTCCTCTATCCATCTGCCGGCATGAGGCTGTGCCTTCCGGGAGGGGGCGTACTTTCAAACTCACTCACACACATCACATGCACTTTGTTTTCAGTTTGCACCATTTTCCCTTAGCATTTGTTGCCATGGTTGTTAATTTGTGTCATTCTGTTCAGCTGTGCACAACTTATTAACTTCAGTATTTAAGTTCATGCCTTTCACCCCTTAGTTGTCGGGCATTGTTTGTTACCACGCTTTGGTTGGATGCTGTTCTCGCTGCTTGAATCATATTGTGGATTTATTAAAGCCTGTTTGGAATTATCTTCATCTTCGTCGTCCTGCTTGTTTGATACAACCTTATTATCGTGACAGATGCAATATAAAAGCGTGATGCAACAATTCTCCTTCCCCACAGAGTGCTGGCGGTTTTGGATAGATAATTAATCTAATTTTAGGTCTTTGTGTGAATGTCAGCAGAAAATGTAGCGAGAAGCTGTCAGTTTGACTTAGCATATTTGGTAAAGGTTGCATAAGCCACATGCCTATTTCCTTATCTCTCTCTCTCTCTCTGTCTGTCTCTCTCTTTTCCCCTGCAGCGGTGGATGCAGTTCCCGTTCGGAAAGATGGGGAGCAGGTAAGGAAAACTACAGCGCTTTGCATATTTAAGATTTGCTTTGTGCCAAACCTTTGTCACATGTTGTGAGCTTAAGCTCTAAGGATCACATCTAAATTATGTCCTTTGCTGAAATAAAACTTTTGCGATGTCTGCATTTCTGTCCGAAGCTATTATACCTACCGAGTGCTGACATTTGTGCCCCATGACACTTTAATGAAGTCTTTAGCTAATACGCAGACCCCCTGCGTGCCACATGCACGTCTTGCCACCCCGTAGCGCTGAAAGTCAGAGAAAGCTTGATGGTATAATGTGTATTTGAAAAGCCTCTATATTAGATTCTCAGCAAGGCCACGGGAGCCAGACCCCAGAGCCCAGCCATTACCGTACAGTATTGCTGTAAAACGGGTTTGTCTCCTGGGAATACATAGCCTCATCCATCTTCCCTGTTTGCTGTCTGTGTTCACGTCCCACCCAAGGGCAACAGCTCCTGGCTTGTCACTCTACTCAGCCACAGATGAATTTGGCTCAAAATCTACCATTTGGTTACTGGTAGCTGTCCAAACCAAACGGCATGTTTAATATCTCAATGCAGAGTTAAGAAGCCGAGCCAGGAGGTACTGTTGTCTCACTGTAGCTGGAGCCAATTGAAATAGTGTCTGTGTTGTTTATGTATGCATTTGTGTTAGAGAGCTGCCCTCGAAAAGGCACTTACTGGTTGCTAAATTAAGAATAATAAAAATAAAATAATTTGTAATAGAAGCTTCAACTCAAGAATCAGGTGCTAGTTGCTAAGTAGCAAGGCTATTTTAGTTATCTTATTGCTAGCTCAATCACCCTCAAACTTAAACTTCACATAATAAATTATTATAGATTAATTCGGAAGGCCCTAAATGGGACTAGTTTGTTTCACAGACTTTGTATGAGTGTTTGCTTTTATAAAACATGTTTTTATTCTCACACAACCAAATATAATCAGCAAATTACCTAGCTGACCTCTAAGAAAATCTATTCTAACAGGAATATACAGGATTGTGGTTTATTATTTACAGTGCTCTTTATTAATTTTGACCTTCTTTTGATAACTAAACGAACTGAGAATTTAGACCTTTCTGTGTGAAACAATTACAACAATAACAAGTATTGCTGGCAACTCATCTGATTTAACTGAATAAACTCAATAGGTAAAGTTTGATCACAGGCAGATAAAAGTGCTCATGATATTATCAGGGCCTCTTAATTATTTGCATACATTTTTAATCATATCACATTTATTGCTTTTTTTCTATTAGTTTTGTGACACGTGAATTGTGAAAACAGTTTAAGAATTGCTAGCATCTATAATTCTATCACATATGTAACACTGGACCACAAAACCCAGTAAGAGTCAATTTTTCGAAATTGAGATTTACACATCATCTGAAATCAGCTGAATAAATAAGCTTTCCATTGATGTATGGTTTGTTAAGATAGGACAATATTTGGCTGAGATACAACTATTTGAAAATCTGGAATCTGAGGGTGTAAAAAAATCTAAATATTGAGAAAATCGCCTTTAAAGTTGTCCAAATGAAGTTCTTAAAAAATTAAGTTTTAATATATTTACAGTAGGAAATTTACAAAATATCTTCATGGAACATGATCTTTACTATATCCTAGTAGATATATCTTTACTATATCTTTTAGATATATCCTAATGATTTTTGGCATAAAAGAAAAATCTATAATTTTGAAATTTGGCTATAAAAATAAATTTGGCTAATGCTACAAATATACCCCAGCAACTTAAGACTGGTTTTGTGGTCCAGGATCACATATAGTTGTGTTTCTATGGGTTTCATTACGCTCAAATCCAGAGCACATAACCTTGCATAACGCCCAATCTTTCCCATCAGTACATTAAATCACAGCCGCACTCTGTTAATAATTGTAACTTAAAAGTTGTTTTGAAAACAAATCCCATTCAAAGTTTTACACAGCGTAAAGTGTGTGGCAAAACATGAATTACTTCATCACTGGGTAGAGAAAACTAATTCTATGTTTTTAATTTGCACCTATCTGTTTTTGCCCCCACAGAAAAGTTATAGGTGGCTGCCGTAATTGCAAGCCAGCCTCAAAAATGTATTTTTAGGAGCCAGCTCCACGTTTATGTAACAGAAGCAGCCATAAACTCTAAGATGGTGGAAAACGAATCGATCAACCCCCGAACGGTCCAACCGTGCCTGTTGTCTGTTCGGAGTTTCTAAGGGGCAGACATTTGCCCCACGCCAACGCCTTTCTGATATTGACCTTCATTTGACCTTTTCATATTGATCTTTCTCTTAATGAACAATGAGCGGCTACTGCTGTTCGTACTGGCACCAGTGTTTGTCTCGCTGCGCTGGGTGCAGTGTAAATGCGATCGATCGCACTCTGTGAGTATGTTTGGGTTGGCTAGGATTACTTACTCCAGTGCTACTCATCAAAGTCGCCTCCATCTCCTCTTGCTGCTGTCCTCATCCAGTGTAGAGACTTCTAAGGCAGACATCAACACAGATACACTATAGGTGGTACTTCATTCATGAATATTTTACACCATATTAGCGAACTATCTGTATAACACAACAAGGGTGCATACAAAGATATATGGTTTACACAACAGTTCATAACAGATGAACAGCGTCTCGCCTCCTTCTCCTGCTTTCTGTTTATCTGTTGTTCTTCCAGATCTAGTGTTCTGTACTTGGCTTGATGTTCTGCCTTCTGTTGTTTCCTGCTAACTGAAATCATGCCTTTTCTTCTCTTTCACTGTATCTTTCCCATCTGTTCTTCAACTGTTATCTGCTTTGCTTCAAGCATGGACGTGCCGAATTTTCCTGGGAAGGAATCAATGTAAGTCTGGTATTGACCTTTTGCCCTTCATACTGTCTGCCTCTCTTGTTTTTTATTTTTATTTGTTTGTTTTTTAATTATATGATATTACTCTCTGGGGGTATCCAGCATTTTTTTTAAACAAATGCTCAAAAAACATATTTTGGACATATTATGTCAGGTACACTACTGTTTAAAAGTTTGGAATAATTATGATTTTATAATGTTTTTGAAGAAATCTCTTATACTCACCAAGGCTGCATTTATTGAATCAAAAATACGGTAAAAACAGTACTATTGTCAAATATGATTTCTGAAGGATCACATGACGCTGAAAAATGACTTCTGAAAATGTAGCTTTGCCCTCAAAGGAATAAATTAAATAAAAAAAATTAAACAATTACAATTATTTTAAATTGTAATAATATTTCACCATAGTACTGTTTTTGATAAACATAAAAAAATGCTGTCTTTGGGAGTATGAGCGGTCTTGATAGGCCACGTCAAGTTATCTGAGATTTGGCCCATTTTTGCAACTTGTAGGTGGTACTGGATGTGTGAGATGATAACACAGTGTGGCTCACATGGAGTTAGTGACATCTGCTCTCATCTTTGAATGAAAAAAAAAAAAGTTAATACAACAAAAGTTTATGATTCTAACCAGTGATATTTTAAGTTTTTTTTATTTTACTATTAAATTATTTATTAATACACTGAACAAAATTATAAACGCAACACTTTTGTTTTTGCCCCCATTTTTCATGAGCTGAACTCAAAGATCTAAGACTTTTTCTATGTACACAAAAGGCCTATTTCTCTCAAATATTGTTCACAAATATCGACCTTTAATGCACAGAGAAACCGTGACGAGATCCTGAGGCCCATTGTTGTGCCATTCATCCACGACCATCACCTCATGTTGCAGCATGATAATGCACGGCCCCATGTTGCAAGTATCTGTACACAATTCCTGGAAGCTGAAAACATCCCAGTTCTTGCATGGCCAGCATACTCACCGGACATGTCACCCATTGAGCATGTTTGGGATGCTCTGGATCGGTGTATACGACAGCGTGTTCCAGTTCCTGCCAATATCCAGTATAGTAAATCTGCACATTTTAGAGTGGCCTTTTATTGTGGCCAGCCTAAGGCACACCTGTGCAATAATCATGCTGTCTAATCAGCATCTTGATATGCCACACCTGTGAGGTGGATGGATTATCTCGGCAAAGGAGAAGTGCTCACCATAGGCGTAATTTGTGGGTGGGATGGGTGGGACATGTCCCCACCACTTTTTGCCAGGGTCGATATTGTCCCTACCACTTTTTGAAAGTAATTGAAAAATATTTTATTGTAAAACCTGGCAAGATCGTGAAATCGAAAGTGAAAGCATCCGAAGCCCGACTTATAACATGGTAAAAGAGGAACTCCCATTCACAAAATTCAAATCACAAATAATACTACTGATGAAAAAGAACGGGTTGAATGTTAAATATTTTCGTTTCCATATAACTATAAACTTCGATAAAAGTTCATCATTATGCATTGATTAACAGCATATTGTAGCGCAAAAAAAAAAAAACTGCAACCAACTGAGAAAGTTAATCGCAAAAGAGCGATCAGTGGGAAGAATGAGTGTGGAGTCCTGAATTGCCCAGCTCCCTCTGTCAATGATCTAGCACCCCCTCAGCACCTGCATTCAAAATTCTCTGGCGCCGCCCCTGGTACATCGATGTATTTTTGAAAAGCAAAAATTAAGTTTGTCCAACTCTAAACCCAGTCCCCACGTAAATTAGGTTATTAAATAAAAAAACTAGGAAATGAGTTGCGTGGTGTCCCCACCACTTTTCAAAGCAATGTTACGCCACTGGTGCTCACTAACACTGATTTAGACAGATTTGTGAACAATATTTGAGAGAAATAGGCCTTTTGTGTACATAGAAAAAGTCTTAGATCTTTGAGTTCAGCTCATGAAAAATGGGGGCAAAACCAAAAGTGTTGCGTTTATAATTTTGTTCAGTGTATGTTGAATGAACTTTTATTTTCACATTTTTTAATTTTTATTGTAATTTTAGTTTAAGTTTTAGTAATTTTATGTGCTTTTATCATTTTTATTAGGTTTTGTTTTTAGAATATTTCTAATTAGCTTTAATTTATTTTTATTCTTTAACGCTTTAATTCAGTTGAATTCAGTTCTAATTTACATTTACATATTTTAAGTAAAAATTTCTCATCTTACAATTATTTTTCAATTTATGAAAATTATTTTTAATAGCTTTAGTTTAGCTAACAATAACAACACTCATTCTTACAGGTTTCCATCATCAAGTTTTAATGAATTCACAATGACCAGAAGTAAAAAAGCTAGTGTTAGGCTAAGGGAACTACACCACAGTCACACAATGTCACCACCACTAAGCCTCTGACAAATCTTTCAATCTTCATTTTAAATTTCTTTGTTCCATGGAACACAAAAGGAGCAAATCTGAATCATGTAGTTGTTCCCTAACAAAATTTCAGTCTGTTTGCTGGGCAAGTTTTTGAATCACTTCAGAAGATTCAGATGTTTATGGTTCTTTTTCTTTTATATCATTTTGATGCTTGACAGCTCCAATCCTCATTTACTTTCATTATGAGTGAAAGTAAATTATATTATACTTTATCATTGCCGGTGTATAATGAAAGTGAGCCAGTGATTTTCGTGGCTTATTACTTTAATTGATTTTTACTCCCACTTCCCTAACTTTTGCTGCTTTTCTCTTTCTTTCTTTCTCTCTCTCTCTCTCTCCTTCCTTCCTTTTGCCAGCTGTCCATGGAGGACACCACCTCCATTTTGCCCAATCTGAAGCGGAACTCCAACGCCTATGGGATTGGAGCTCTGGCTAAGTCCTCTCTGACAGGTGTGTCAGGTGTGTGTCTGTCCCGGTAGCTGGTAACCGACCCCATGTTGGCTCCAGAGGAGGAGATGGCGATTGGAGCCAACATGGCTGCCCCTGTGGGTTCCCCTCCCTTTCCAGTTTCACCACCTGCCTCCTCCATTAATTAGTGCATGTCAATGGCCTCTTTAGCCATTGATGAAATCCCCAGTCAGACCCAATAAGAGTTCACAAAAAAACGGCTGACGTAAGTGCACTATCCATCTCCACAAGCTTGCTGGGAAACGTCGTCTTTCGGTCTGATGCCAGCTGTGTTTTGTAGTGTGCTTTGTTGTTTTTTGAAGTAAACTGTTGGTCATTAGTGTATTGTGGTGTTTTTTTATGGATACTGCTCATTGTCACAACAGGTTTCGGGAAACGTAGGTATCTGAATCTTTCTTGATTTCATGTCCTGTATCTTTTGTAATTCTCTTGTTTTTCCTAAATGCTTGAAAATGGGGTGAAGTGCTCAAGTGATACCATTAGATTGTTTTCCCCCTGGAACAAACAGGGGTGATTTATCAAAGTATTTAAAGAGAGCCGTCACTTCATCAGATGGGGTTTTTATCATTGTCAGCAGCCTAGAGAAAAATCATGCAACCGTCAGCGAGGTTACCATCAGACTACCTTGTTTTTAGCTCTCGTTAACATTCAGAGCCTTAAGTTTTAAACGAATGCGTCTCCCGTTCAAATGAGATGTTTGCATGATAATAAGCCATTTTGTTTAAGGGAAATATGTTTAGACGTTTCCCTTTCGGCTCTAATTATTCATACATGCATAAAACCTTATGAATCTCATGTAATTCATTACTCTTGTGAATAATGTATTTCTAAACATGGTCAACCAATCGCATCTCTCTCACCGCTTGTGCGGCGACTGATCAAATCAACAGACTGTAGCGCATTCATAATCACTCATTTAGTTGTTATCATCCACAGAGCCTTGCGGTAGTTTACTGTAGTGAGGTGATTAAACAAATGACACATATCCCATAATGCACTGCCTAGCTGCTTTCATTTCGCCCCTTTCTGCAGCTCCATGTAGAGTCTGTAGAGGCGCTGACTTGTGTTTCTTTTTCTTTAGGGGTTACCAGATCAATGAAGGACAAAGTGACCAAGCCCACTGCCATGGCTCAGGGTCGTGTGGCCCACATGATTGAGTGGCAGAGCTGGGGTAAACCATCCGCAGGGCCAGAAGGGGGAGCGGGACGCTCCAATCTGAACCGCGAGAGGGAGAGACGGCTTGAAAATGACGCCTATAGTGACCTGAGTGATGGAGAAAAAGAGGCACGAATGGCAGCGGGTGAGATGATTGGAAAATGTATTATGGTAAAGTCACCAGAGAGAAATGTCATCCCCCTTCTCACATTTAGTTGTGGTACAGGGTGGAAACATAATATATTAAGTTGAAATGTATGCCTATGATTTATAGCGTTAAAGGACATTTGAACATTTTCTAAATTAAACTGTACCTCAAATATATATTTTAACTTATCAGTATATTTGGGTTTCACTTGTAAGCTTATAAGATTAAACCTCACTTAATTTGGCATGTTTTGTTGCTCAATACAAATAAAAACATGGGGTCAGAAAAATGCTATTATATTATTATAAATATTATATTACTAAAACACATAATATATTTACTCCATATTCTCTTAAAGTCTCAATATCTCATGCAATTTTGCTTCTCTGGTCAATTTATCTTGGTTTAAGGGTGTTTATAAATAAATAAATATTGCAGTACATTAATAGCAAATGTTTTTATCAGCACAAAAATGTGGGCTTTTTATATTAAAATCATAAAATTGCATAGGGACTAAAATGTGCAATTAATTACATTAAATTGTAATATTTCATTTTATTATTATTTTTTTTTTACTAACACAACCTTTCTGAGAATTTATTGTTATTTCCAATTTTGTAATCTGTAAGAAAGTTTAAGAAAGTATTTTATGCTTACCAAGGCTGTATTTATGCAATTGAAAATGCAGTAAATTAGTAATATTGTAAAATATTATTATAATTTAAAATACCTGCTTTCTATTTTAATATATTTAAAAATGTAATTTATTCCTATAATGGCAAATTAGTGCCACACGATCCTTCGGAAATTATACTAACATGCTGATTTGGTACTAAAGAAACATTTCTTATTATCATAAAAAAACAGTTGTGCTGCTTAATATTTTAAAATACCGTAAAATACATTTTTTGAAGAATAGAAAGATCAAAAGAGCAGCATTTATTTGTAATAGAAATCTTTTGTAACATTTATAAATGTCTTAACTGTCACTTTTGATCAATTTAATACATCCTTTCATTTCTAAACAAAAGTATGAATTTTTTAAACAATATTAATAATAATAAAACCATACTGACCCCACATTTTTGAACAGTAGTATTTATATACCAACATAAGAATTTGGAAATGTTTAGTGGAGTGAACCACCCAGTGAAAATCTGTGAGTATATTTCGTCTTTAAAACATCAAAATTGTAAATTGACTTTTTGCAGGCATTATGCAGCAGTTTGCCATCTCTGAGGCCGCACTCTTAACCTGGAACTCTATGGATGGAGAGAGTCTCTGTGCCAACTCCAACCAGGGCAGCGTGGCTCACCTCAGTGAGGTTAACCAGGAGAGCATCACCAGCAGAGGTGAGGGTCATCAACAACCACCTCATGCCATAACAGAATGAAGACATTGTTGGAGATTTTAATAAAGGCAATATACAGTAATTTATGTTATGTTACATTAAAGTTTTTACATTTTGTTTGACTTCAGATGAATGGAACAATCTTTTGTTAATCCATTTGTAATAGAAATCTTTTGTAACATTTATAAATGTCTTAACTGTCACTTTTGATCAATTTAATGCATCCTTTCATTTCTAAACAAAAGTATGAATTTTTTAAACAATATTAATAATAATAAAACCATACTGACCCCACATTTTTGAACAGTAGTATTTATATGCCAACATAAGAATTTGGAAATGTTTAGTGGAGTGAACCACCCAGTGAAAATCTGTGAGTATATTTCGTCTTTAAAACATCAAAATTGTAAATTGACTTTTTGCAGGCATTATGCAGCAGTTTGCCATCTCTGAGGCCGCACTCTTAACCTGGAACTCTATGGATGGAGAGAGTCTCTGTGCCAACTCCAACCAGGGCAGCGTGGCTCACCTCAGTGAGGTTAACCAGGAGAGCATCACCAGCAGAGGTGAGGGTCATCAACAACCACCTCATGCCATAACAGAATGAAGACATTGTTGGAGATTTTAATAAAGGCAATATACAGTAATTTATGTTATGTTACATTAAAGTTTTTACATTTTGTTTGACTTCAGATGAATGGAACAATCTTTTGTTAATCCACAGCTCAGATATTACAAGCACACACTTCTTAAGCACATCCTTGCATGATCATTACACTGGCAACTCAAAAGCTTGTGAATATTCATCTGCTCTTGCAGTAAGAAATGTTTGCATCTTTTGACAGGAGTCTCATAACCACACCTGTGTTTCACTGATGTGAGCACTTGGATATTTCTGCCGATTTGTTTGATATTGTTTACCTAGCCTTGACTGATGTGACTTCCAGTCCATTTGACAGGTCTAGAGCGCATTGCCACCACTTTATTTAGTGTGAGGAAATGTGTCAGAGATGCCACAGTGACAGCTGCAGGCCCAAAGGCGATGGGGGAGAATGGCAGAACAGCACTTTTCCTGAGGTTCAGCTATCAGAGCTTATACAAGCCCTGGGTTGAAGCCAGGTTGCAACGTAACACCAAACAAAAAGCATCTCTTTGGCCTGATTATGTCAAAATAAGAGAATTGTAACAATGAAAAATAAACATGATTGTAAAAATTTTTAAAGGGATAGTCCAAACAAATGGAATATTCATTTACACACCCTAATGTCGTTCCACACTTGTATGATATTCTTTCTTTTGAGGAGCACACAAATGAGATATTTTCAAGAATGTTCGTAACCAAAGAGTTTCGGCTCCCGCTGACTTTCATTATATGGATAAAAAAATACAATGGAAGTCAATGGGGGCCGACACAGTTTAATTTTTGGGTTTAAATCATCTCTTTAAAATGATTTGACTGTATGATTAGAACATAAGGAATTTTAAAATGTTAGAATTTAGTTTTAAAAAATAATTTAAAATGGAAAAGAATAGCAGAGTCCACACCACATCTAGAATGATAACGACACAGAGGAAGGCTATCATTAGAATCACTTCCAGTTTTTTTTCCAGCTGATAAAAAAAAAAACATTGACAGCCAATCAGAATCCACCCTGCTTTAAAGAACTTGAGCATTTAATGTGACAGACAAAACTGCAAAGTGTAGAACGTTAGAACGTTATCGTGTTTTTGTGTGGATGCTAATATGGTTATTGTTCTAGAAACTACTTTGGTTTCACCTGCATTTGAACCCTCACCTTATGACCTTCCGTCTGTCTCTCCTTCGTTTCCATGTCTCTGTCCTTCAGACCAGCCGTTGCATCATTCCTCGGCAGAAGTGTGGCCTCACACCTATGTCTCCCAAGGCCTTTACTGTCTCTCCTCCTCTGATGCGTGGGAGCCAATCAGCAACGAGCCCTCGGTCGTAGCTTCTCCCGCTGCCAGCTCTTACATCATGGCGGGTGGGGCTTCGGGTGAGGGTTATGACGGCTCCACCCACTATTTGACACAGCAGCAGCTGACCTTGCAGCAGCAGAACCACCTACAGCAGTTCCAACAGTATCAGCAGTACCAGCAGCAGCAGCTCCTGCAGTATCAACAGGTCAGAAAACACAGTTTGACACGCTGCCATGTTTACACGCTCAGAGGAACACTACAGAGTTGTGATTAGCTCTACTGCTTGACCTGTTTTAGCAATTGTAGTTTATTCCCTCATTAAAGATGTTCAGGACTCATTTTTGCATCTTCCGTACCCAGTATTAAAATACTTTTTTGTTTCAAAGTTTGTTTTTCCCATCGTACCTACAAACATTCTTGATTCTTTTTCTCATGTTTTCTCTTGAAGTCTTTGGAACATCGAGTGCACAGCGCCTCTCACTCCTTACAAGCCACGCCCAACAGCACTATTCACAGTTTGGGCCCGCCCACCCACCCGAGACTGGCTGACCTGTGGGCGCAGCAGTTCCAACAGTATCAGCAGTACCAGCAGCAGCAGCTCCTGCAGTATCAACAGGTCAGAAAACACAGTTTGACACGCTGCCATGTTTACATGCTCAGAGGAACACTACAGAGTTGTGATTAGCTCTACTGCTTGACCTGTTTTAGCAATTGTAGTTAATTCCCTCATTAAAGATGTTCAGGACTCATTTTTGCATCTTCCGTACCCAGTATTAAAATACTTTTTTGTTTCAAAGTTTGTTTTTCCCATCGTACCTACAAACATTCTTGATTCTTTTTCTCATGTTTTCTCTTGAAGTCTTTGGAACATCGAGTGCACAGCGCCTCTCACTCCTTACAAGCCACGCCCAACAGCACTATTCACAGTTTGGGCCCGCCCACCCACCCGAGACTGGCTGACCTGTGGGCGGCGGCTCAGGTGGAGCCCCATCAGGTGGAGATGCTGGGACACATGGGTGTGACCATGGCCGAAATGGGAATGGCGGAAGTGTATGGTGAGGAATCCGTTGTGGAGACCGAATGCATCCCAGAGCAGCAAGAGGAGGAGGAAGTCAAGGTGGCATTTTTAATTTCCACATCCTTCACCACCAGTTAACCCAAAAATGATCATTTTCTGAAAATGTACTCACTCTCTGGCCATCCAAGATGTAGATGGGTAAAGATCAGTACAGATTTGGAGAAATTACATCACTTGCTCATCAATGGATCTTCTGCAGTGAATGGGTGCCGTCAGAATGAGAGTCCAAACTGCTGATAAAAACATCACAATAATTCACAAGCAATCCACATGACTCCAGTGCATCAATTAACATCTGGTGAAGCGGGAATCACTCATCATACAATCTAATACATTTTTAAGTTCTCTATCTATAATATTGCTTTCTTCAGTGAAGTCGTCTTTTTTGAATCAGAAGAGAAATATGAACAGATTACACACGGTTTACAAGTGAAAGCATTCCAAGACAGTTCTAAACAACGATGCCAATGGATTTTGATGTCAGAGGACAACAGGGATGGACTCTATTATGGATTGGTATTTTGGCCAGAATTGACCGTTTAAAATTTAAAACAACTTGATGCATTTGTTTCTTACAAACACACAGCTTTTCACTTCACAAGACGCTAATCGATGGACTGGAGTGGTGTGGATTACTGTGGTTTTTATCAGCTGTTTGGACTCTCATTCTGACGGCACCCATTCACTGCAGAGGATCCACTGGTGAGCAAGTGATGTAATGCTACATTTCTCAAAATCTGTTCTGATGAAGAAACAAACTCATCTACATCTAGGATGGCCTGAGGGTTTGCAAAATTCAGCAAATTAGGTGAACTATTCCTTAAATTTTTTTCTCTCTTTCTCAAGGAGGATGACATAACACTTACCCTCGAACCCCAGCTGACATCCGTAACTCCTGCCCTGACCCCTCCGTCTCTGAGAGAGGACTCCACCCCATCTGGGGGCATGAGCCCAGGGCAAGCACCAGCAGAGCCAGTGGTTGAGCACATGACCTACGAAGTCACATCCTGCGTCGTCCAATCACAAGAGAAGAAAGAAGAGGTGGGGGATGGGGCCGTTGTTGTTGTGGCAACCAACTGACAGTTTAAATCGAGGGGCATCCGGAAAAAACGAAACCGTCTGTGAAATAATCCGCCAGTTAAGCTATTGTATACGCTCTTTTACCCCAGATGTGTATTCGTAAGGACTGTCACATCAGGAACAGATTTATTCGTTATCAAACGCCGAAAGAACAGGGCTCTGGGCGCCTATAGAGACTAAACGGGAGAGTGTCAAAGCCAGGATGATACATTATATGTGCTGCTGCTGCTGCTGTTTTATGGCAGGAGCGCTGGAGTCCAAGGCCGCTTACAAATGAAAACGAAGAGTGCAATACTGAGAAATCAATACAACCAAAAGAAAGTGCATGCGTTTTTTTTTGTTGAATATTTAAGTGACTGAATTAACAGTATCCACATAGTAATAATACATATTGATTTTGTAATAAAACTAAAAGCCAGTGAAACAAATATGTATTTGTATGTATATATATATAACATGTATGTACTGTATGTATGTTAGTATGAATGTATGGATGTATGTGTATTTAAAGGTATATTCTGAAAAAAACGTTACGAATTTGCCGTTTGCGTGAAGTGTCCCCTAGGTACCTCCAACACACTCGCACACACACTTACACAAACACTGATGCACACACAAGTACACACCCTGGAAAACATGTTTTTGCTCTTAATATATCCAAGCACAATACTGCCCAAATGGAAACAGTGCTGCCCTTTTCAACATCCTAACTGTATTGTTACTAAGACTTATGCACTACTATGGACATAAACGAATGTATTGCCTATCTTCTTAGCGACAGCCCGGTTCTGTCCTCAAGTTTTTTTGTTCTGTTCTGCTTCATTTTTCTCATCAATGTCTGTGTTTATCCGTTTGCGTACTGCCTGGCGGAGCTGCTCAATACTGATTTGCACTGAACAACAAAAGGAAAACTGAAGAGTCATCGTCGTCATTCTGGGACATTCTATTAATATTCTCATGCAAAAAGAGGAGTAAACTTTGGATGCTTTTAATCCGTTGAGGCTGAGACTACAGGAAACCAAACTGTGAATCTTGAAGACCACTCATGGATCCATTAATTTCCATTTTTGATTAACTAACATGTAGGAGCCATTTATATCATGCATGCATGCATTTTCCATGTTATTTACGTTGTAGCTTTCCCTGTAGCTGACATAATGCAAAGAGATAAACTCTCATAACCTCAGTAAAATCATGTGGTAATGGGCTAGTTGACATGTTCTGTCAAAGTATGTTTTTGTCACGACAGACCGTATGACTGTGGAAAGAAGTGAAAAGAAGGTGCTTTTCTGGTTAATGCTAGCAGGCTTTCCACTAATTATTTAATAAACTGTCATTTAAATACCCGCTGCAGAAAGAAGTGCCCTCGACTACTAGCGTGCACGTTAAACCTTTGTCGATACTTACATAAGTTCCAAAAGAGAGAACAAAAAAAACAAAAAAAACATTTTGCAACATTAACACTAGGCCTAATTTAGATTTAGAAGGCATTTGGTTTAGCAATGATTTATAATCTTTGATGATTTTGAGAGTTTTGATTAATGCCGTTATGCAATGCTGAGGTAACATTTATTTTTCTATACTAATGAGGCCAGCGAGTTCTCTGTCTTTGTGATATTTCGAACATCATAGGACTAGCATCTGCCGAATGAGAGTCATTTTCAAAGTTCTAATGGTTGTTTTTGGAAATTCGAGAGCAGGCGAAATGAGAAAGATTGGAGTGGATGATGTCTCGTGTTCAACGAACAAAATTAGATTCTTTGGAAAGTATACTTTCAGCATCTTTAATGTCACAGCTCTTTGTGAAATGTCCAACAGATGGTGACATTAATAGCTCACAGCAATGATGTCATAATTCTGTCATACTCTGTGAAATATGATGCATTTAGTGCAGAATGGCAAAGCAAGGCGTGAAATCAGAAATGAGTTTCTGATTATTGAGGAATAAAAAATCAAGCTAGGTAGCAGTCTTGCAGTTTCTTCAACTCCATTCGGTGTCATCCTGTAACCTCATTCAAACCATGTGCTGTAAATAAAATCCTTATTGCAAAGGTCTGTCTCATTTGTTAACGGCTATAGAGATTTATAAAAGACCAGCAAATTGTATAGATATATTAAGATACTCTCTCACTATTTCACTGAATCACTGCACTATTTTACACAATGATAAAAAAAAACATTTATCATTCCACATCTGACTAATCTAAGAAAGTACGTGCCATAAAAGCTTTTTTAATTCAAATGTATCACTGTTTATTGAATTGTTATTCATTCCTGGAAGATATGATCAAGATCGAATGCTTTTAGATATATAAATCTCCTTCCCATTATTCAAAACAATTCACAAAACCATCAGTAATGTTTCAAAACTTCGTTATGAATCAAACATTTTCTGTTGATATCTCATCACACCAAGAAGGAAAGAGATGAATGAATAAATAAATTAATAAATATGACAAAAACAGACAAACATGGAAGCCAATAAAGTTATTGCTCACGGACTGAACAGATATAAAAATCACATTAAATTAACTGTAACATTTAAAAGAGGACAGCAGATCACATGAACCATAGATTGTTCATAAACAGCAGTCCTCGGTTTAAAGACATGAGAGACACCTGAGAGAGAGTTTTCAGAAAAAAAAGATGGATAGATGAAGGCAGGACATGAAGAATTTCATTAAGAAGGGACAGTGTGCACATCCTGAATTTTAAATTGCTTAAAATTGTACAACTGGAAAAGATCACAAAAAAAATATGTTCCAGGTGAAAAGAAAGTTCAGATTCTGAAAAGGTCCACAATGTGCCACCGGCTGGCCACTACTTCACAATGCAGTGAAAATATTCTTTGTTGGAAATTGATTTTTGACATTTTATAACATAAAAGGGTCCACGCCCTTTAATAAAGTGTTCATATGAAATGATTTAGGTGCATGAAGACAAGTGTTTTTTTGAGGTCTGAAATAATGTCTGCCGCATGTAAACCTGGTTCAACATTATCAGCAGCATTTATGTCACTAATGATAGTGTTCATGTTTTGGTGCTCCAATAAAATCATTTTTTATAATCAGTTAATGTTTGAAGATTCCCCATCCATTTTTAAAAAAAAAATCCCACTGAAAAGAAGTGCAGCCACAGGGTTAGTGTTACATTACACAGATTATACATTACTGAAAGTCAAGGGAACACACTGAAAAATATATTTGAGAAGAAAAAAAAAAATCGAGCACCTATTTGACCATAATCTCAATAATAAGTCACATGATACACGATACATATTTCTACTGGGGCAGCTTATATTTATTTACAGAGTTTTTTTTAGAATAAAATGAAAAAAGGAGGAAGAGGAAGTGGTAGTGGAAAGAGAAATAAACAGGTGAAGAAAAAAAAGGAAGAAAAAAATCAAGAGGAAAGAGGACAAGAAAATTTACAGAAAATTCTAGAGGAAGAAGAGCAGAAATAAGAAGAGAACTCTATCTCTTCTTACTTTTCTTCTTCTTCCTCTAAAAAATTCTGTACATTTTCTTTTTTTCTTAAGTAGAAGAATGAAGAAGAGGAAAAAAAGGAAAATACAATTATTTACAGAAATGTAAAAAGGGGGAGGGGGAGGAAGAGAATAAGGAAAAGAATAGAGGAAAAGGAAGCAGAAGAGAGAGGAGAACAAATGTGACTCAAGAAAAGAACAGACATTTTTAAACCTTTGAAATGAGCACATTAATTAAAAAAAAAACATGAAATTGTTATATAAAAATAAATGTGAAAAAGTACACTGATCACATCTCAAAAAGAAAAACAAACTTTACTTGTTCTAAAGGGGCTCCTCGTCCTCATTTTCTTCACCTTCCTTGTTCTCCGGGACGGGCTGCAGGGTGGAGAGAGGGATGGGGGGTGGAGGAGAAGAGGGCGGCAGGTTTGGGCTGCTATCGGGACTTCCTTTCTCACTGTCACTACTTCCTGTCCTGCTACTGCTTCCTGTTGTCAAGCTACTGCTGTTCCCAACGATCACTTCCCGCTTCACACCCTCAATCCACACTTCCATGTCCTCCTTCTCTTCCTTCACTGGGGCCGCTGGGCTGGGGGAATGGGAGTGAGGGATCACGGGTACAGACAGAAGCGAGGAGGGAGCTGTGGTGGAGCTGGGCGAGGATGGAGGGGAGGAGGCCGGAGGTGGCTTCGAAGCTTTACGAATTGTGTCACGGAAACTGGCCAAAGGGGGGCGCAAGCGCACGCCACTGCGCGTGGAGCCCTCAATGGCTTTTTGGAGCTGATGCAGAAGAAGAAAGAAGGGTTAAACAATCTAAAAAAGGAGAATTTACTAGCAGCAACAATGCATGGATGGATGGAGATGGGCTACCTCTTTCAGTGCCACGACTCCCACTAGTTTTCCAGTATTGGTTACATAGGCATGACTGAGGCCCAGTAGAGAGAACAGGGTATGAGTCTGGGGGGGAAAAAGGTGTTTTTACAGACCTTCAAAAAAATCAAGATATTCTAAATTTTTTAAAATAACTATGCTTAAACAAAAAAGATTTGTTCATTTACACCAGTGTTTTCCAAACTGAAGTTTGGCTGACAAAAAGTTTAAGAATTACTGATTTACACTAATAAATAGGAATGCATCATTAAAATTTTGACTGATACAATTAGCCGATAATGATTTAAAAATATTATTTAATTAATAATTATGAATTATATGAAGGAAATTTTATGTTAATTGAATATATTATATATTAAACTCTACACTATTTTGTTAAATTAAAATGCTAAAACTGAAATTAATAGGTTTAAATCTACAAGTGAATTTAGGCATCACAACATAATGTACAGTATAAAAATTTATATTCTTTTTGAGATTTGCTAGATTACATTTAACAATGTAATCTAATCCAATATTAGCTGATACTGATAAAAAAAAAATCTAATATGGTATAGATATATCATGCATTCATCACTATTGCCTTCTCTAGAGCTGATTATAGGTGAATTGAACGTGTCTCATAATTGACACTTAAACTGAACTGAA